AAAAAAAAAAAAAAAAAGAAATGGCTGGAGAAGTACCTCTAGATTCCCTGTGTTCAGTCTTCCTCTTGATTTTTCAGGTCCTTCTGTAGAAAAGATAAGAGTAGGAGTAGTATGTATTTGTTTGTTTTTTGTTTTGGAACCAGGGAGCTAACTCAGGTCCTTGCACTTGTGAGGCAGGTGGCAGCACCACTGAGCTAAATCCCCAGCCCTAGTATGTATTTTTTTGCACTTCACTTCTTTCACTCAACTTTGTTTGTGAAAACCATCCATTGTGTAGCTGTTTTGTTGGTTTTCTTTGCTGAATAGTATTCCATTGTATGATCATGACACAGTTTATCTGTTCTGCAGTTGAAGGGCACTTGGGTGTTTCTAATTTGAGTTGTGAATAGTGCTGCCATGAACATTTGTGTGCATGTCTTTTGGGGATTTACTTAGGCAGAGTCATTGGACATTTATATGCAACTTTTGCAGATACAGCCAAGTAGGTTTCAGAATGGTGGCAGACTTTGATGTCAACTTAGACATCTTTTGTGATGGTTTAGTCTTAGAGAGTAATGTTTCAAGCAAATTAACAACAGACTTGTTACCTTTCTCTTTTCCTCCACCAGAGTCATTTAAAGTTATTTAAAGTTGCTGGAGTTTGTTGACAGATCTGTCCACTTGGAAAGGAGAATTGTTGACAGCCCTTGTTCCTGAGCCTCCTTTTCATGCACTATTAAGCAATTGTTCCCATTTGTTTTTGGGGTCTCTCTTTTGTCCTATCCCTGAAATGTAACTACACCTCAGTTTTTGATTGCTCCTTAAGGGTATCCACATGTAGTGTCACCTTTTTCATGTGGAAGTTACCTCTGGTAGTTACCTCACTCTATACCCTATGACTATAGTGTTTGGCAGGCCCTTATTTCCTTACAGGAAGCACATGGGTCCCTGCCTCTTCACACCTCTTGACTCTTTGTACTTAACCTCCTCTAATAAGATCTAAATTTATGTGTGTGGTCCACTTAAAACCCAGATCTAACTCTGTCATGCCTCTGCTCAGAACCCTCCAGTGACATCTCAGGAGAGAAGTTTAATTTTTGGGGCGGTGGTTTGAGACAGGGTCTCACTATGTAGTTGGGACTGACCTGAAACTCATTATGTAGCCCAGGCTGGTCTCTAACTCACAGTGATCCTCTTGCCTCAGCCTCCCAAGTACTGGGATTACAGGCATGCCATGCGCCACCACACCCGGCTTCCTCCAGAGAGAAGTTGAAGTGGGCATGGTGTGCACACCTATAATCCCTCTAGGAGGCTGAATCAGGAGGATTGCTGGGAGTTTGAGGCCAGCCTTGGCTATTATGAGTTTGACGTCAGCCTGAACTACGCAATGAGACCCTGTCTCAAAAAACAACAACAACAAAAAAAACAGTTCAAGCCTAGCCTTTAACAACTTAGTGAGACCTTGAATCAAAATAAAAAATAGGGGCTAGGGATTTAGCACAGTAGCACTGCGCCTGCCTCGCAAACACAAAGTCCTGAGTTTGATCCCCAGTACCAAAATAAATAAATTAATAATAATAATAATAAATGAAGAAAAGAGTGGGGATGGAGCAAAGGCCCTGGGTTCAATCCCTAATACAGAACTATCAAAAGAATAAAACTAAGAAAAGTTAGGGCCAGAGGTTTAGCTCAGTGGTGCCAGCACCTGTCTGGCAAATGCAACAGCCTGAGTTCAATCCCTGGTTCCACAAAAAAAAATAAATTAAAAAAAAGAAAAAGAAGAAAAGTTAAAATCAGCACCATTGACATTCACACCAATTAACTTTTTTGTTGGCACTAGAGAGATTTTACTTTTAATTTTGATATCTTTTGCATTGTATGGTATGGCACCTCTTTGGCTGCTACTGTACTAGATGCCATCAGCAGCCCTCTGATCTTGATCTGTCTCTTGTACACAGAATCTGTCCCATTGAGAACCACAGCTAGAATGGGATTAGAGGACAGCATCTTCCCTCTCATTCATTCATTCCTGCCACATTGCCCTTCTGGCTGTTCTTTGAACACACCAAGCCAAGCGACTACCTCTGGGTATTTGCTCTTGATGTTCATACTTTTGAAATCTCTCACATATCTACATGAGCTTTTAACATTTTTATAAATCAAAAAGGCGTTTATCAGCCATCTCCTCTCAACATTCATGAAAACAGGGATATTTTTCCCATCTGTTATATTCTTGTCTTTGACTGGACATATAGTTGGCATTTAGTAACTATCTGTTGGCTGAATATTTTCTGCACTCCCATTAAAAGCATTGAACAAGTAGGTCAAAGATTAGTATTTTTAAATTTATTTTTATTTTTTATTTTTTGGTACCAGGAATTGAACTTGGGACCTTGTGCTTGCGAAGGAGGCAGTAGAATCATTGAGCTAAATCCTGTCCCAGTATTTTTTAATATAACTTTTATCTCTAATGATACACTACCTTTGAACTCTAAAATTGGTTTTAAGCCAATGTTCACTATAAAGCAGCAGCCAGATAGGGCAGAGAAAAATGAGAAATTAGAATCAGCCAGAGTTAAAATTCAAATTTGAAGGGAAATAAAAAATATGAGAAATAGAAAATCATGGAAACAAAGTCTTTGTAAACAGGGAAGCATGGAGGGGGTGAAGGGAGGGCAGGGGAATGGGAAAAAATAAGAACCAAGATGCATCGTGTAAAGGTACAAGATCCCAAAGATGACTGCAACTGTACTGTATACTTAAAAAGTACCATTAAACTTAATGAAAAATAAATTTTAAAAATAAAGTTTTTTTTGTTTTGTTTTGTTTTTGGTACTGGGGATCAAACTTGGGTCCTTGTGCTTGCCAGGTAGGCAGCAGAACCACTGAGCTAAATCCCCAGCCCTAAAAATAAAGTTTAATATATTTTTTAAAAAAATTTGAGGCTGGGTGTGATATGCACATTTATAATCCCAACAGTCTGGGAAGCTGAGGCAGGAAGATTGCAAGGTCAAACCTAGCTTGAGCAACTTAGTAACTTAGTGAGACCCTGTCACAAAATTTAAAAAGGGCTGGGGATTTAGCTCGGTGGTTCTACCATCTGCCTCGCAAGCCCAAGGACCTGAGTTCAATCCCCAGTACCAAAGAAAAATAAAAAACAGTGTAAAAAGAGGTGGAGATGTAGCTCAGAACAAAGGCTCTGAGCTCAATCCCCAGTACCACAGGTCCAGTCAGTCACTTACCTGTGTGACCCTGAAAAAACCATCGCATTTCTTTGGTCCTTCTTGCCTTGGAGACTCAGAAGTGGAACCCATGTCAGCTTCTCCATCTGTGTCCTTAGTCTGTTGTAGTTCATGGAGAGACTCAGCTGTTTCTTATTACTGGAGAGCTTGAGACAGGAAGTTAAGGGGCTACAGTGGTTCGATGTTTTGCTTAACATTTGGGAGCAAGGCAATTGGAAAACCCTGTTTTGAAAGCCTGAGTTTCCTTTGAAAAATATTGTTCCTAAAGGGAAGAGTTCTTTGGCTGGGAGTGTAGCTCAGTAGTAAAGTGCATTCTTAGCATGAACAAGGCCCTGAGTTCAATCCCCAGCATCACCACCAAAAAAGGGGAAGAGTTCTTTTCATATTTGTGTTGAATTGACTTGTGTGCTCCTATGATCCAGAGCTAGTGCTGTTGTAGTTTTCTTCACCCTTAGTAGCAGTGGTTGTGCAGCCTTGAGATTCAGACAGGTGTCTGGGTGGGTGACAAGAATTTTCTTTGTCCATTGAGCTGCTTCCAGACCACCTGCCCCTGTATCTTTCAGAATCCTCCCTGGAAAAGGAGAGGGAAACTCCCAGTCCTATCGACCCCAACTGTGTGGAAGTAGATGTGAACTTCAACCCTGACCCTGCTGACCTGGTCCTATCAAGCGTGCCAGGTGGGGAGCTCTTCAACCCTCGGAAGCACAAGTTTGCAGAGGAGGACCTGAAGCCCCAGCCCATGATCAAAAAGGCCAAGAAAGTCTTTGTCCCCGATGAGCAGAAGGTAACTTGGTGTCCTGTATCAGTAAGCTGTGACAGTGGCTCAAGAATGTAGGCAGTGGGCTGGGAATGTAGCTCAGTTGTAGAGCATTTGTCTTGAACATGCTAGGGCTTGGATTCCATCCCCAGTACCTAGAGAAAAAAACCAGTCTACAGCCATACCATCCTGAACGAGCCCAATCTTGTCTGATCTCGGAAGCTAAGCAGGGTTGGGCCTGATTAGTACTTGAAAGGGAGAAAAAAACTCCAGGGACTATGCTTCCTCACATGAGACTTATTTGGGGGACCCTCCCTCCCTGTGGATACCATTTAGAAAGACAAGTTCGGTGCATAGAACCACATCCTATAGCAGTTTGTTAGAAATAACAGCATTTGATGACAGGGGCGCCTATAGTTTCTCTCTCCTTTCTGGACCCCGTGGCTGTGCTGCTGTCCCTCCTCTCTGTCTTTAGCCCAGCCGTTGGGCAAGAACTCCTAGGACAGAGGAACTAAGGTTGAAAAAGATCCCATTCTTCAGGACAAGCTTGTATGTTGCCAGCCCCAGGGATGAACAAGCAGTTCTCAAGCTGATGGTTCTGTAGGAATTGGTACAAAGTGGGAACTTTTCAGTTTTACCATTGCTCTGAGAGACCTACAGGTAGGACTTTTCATACAAGTGGAGCTGGGTGCAGACCCCACTTTACCCTCAGACCCAGAAGGTGCTTCACCTGTAAAGTGGGCAGAATGTACCTGCCTCTCCAGGAGGTTTCTATGACACTGATGGTGACACTAACCATTTATACCACACTTACTGTAGGCCAGGCACAGTATGTATGTGTGTGTGTGTGTGTGTGTGTGTACACACACATACACATAACACACACACAAACTTGTTTAATCTTCAAACAAGTGGATGGTGTAGTTCCTATTATTCTCCTCAGTATGAAACAGAGGGACCTGAGACAATGAGAGGTTAAGAAATTTACAGTTCAGAGGCCAGAGATTTAGCTCAGTAGTTCCACTGCCTGCCTCAAAAGCTCAAGGTCCCGCGTTCGATCCCCAGTACCAAAAAAAAGAAAAAATGTACAGTCCACTATAATAATCTTACAGAGCTGAGATTTGCACTCAGGGGACTGAACCCAGGTTGCCGGCCCTTACCTGCAGGCAAGGCACCCACACAAGGCAAGGCCATAGATGGTGCCCTAAGCTGGAGTGGCACAGAGCAGGCTGCTGGGAAATAGGGACCCCTTGCCTCCACTGTGCAACTTCTGAAGGACTTTGCTTCTCATCTTGCCCTCAGAGGGTGGGGCAGTGGCCTTCCCCAGGGTCCAAACTTTAGCTCTGGTCACACCAGTGGATTCTGAGGGGAACCAGGGTGGTGGGAAGAGAGGCTTGGGTGCCTTTACGGAGACGCCCAGAGACCCATGGAGGGCACTTCTCCCGCAGGATGAGAAGTACTGGACAAGACGCAAGAAGAACAATGTGGCAGCCAAGCGGTCACGGGACGCCCGGCGCCTGAAGGAGAACCAGATCACCATCCGTGCAGCCTTCCTGGAGAAGGAGAACACTGCCCTGAGGACGGAGGTGGCCGAACTGCGCAAGGAGGTGGGCAAGTGCAAGACCATCGTGTCCAAGTATGAGACCAAGTACGGGCCCTTGTAACCTGTGCCCCCGCCCGGGCGGGGCCCTACCTGCCCCTCAGACCTCTGCCTGGGGGCTCCTTGAACCCCACACACGTGTGGAGACTTAGGACTTGTCACGGGCGCACAGAGTGCCCCTGCTCCAGGTGCGTTCACGTCTCAGCTTCATTATAACCTGGCCAGCGCACACGGCGACTTCCCAGGGGCAGCCTCCCCTATGGGGAACACGAGAGAATCTGCGCGGAGGGGGAATGGCCCAAGTTTCTGTTCTGTCCTGGCTGCGTCAGAAGGGACCTCCGGAGTACACATCTCCTTCACAGGGCGCTCAGGCTTCCTCAACTCCCCTCAGTCTCCAGCCCAGGCGGGGAGGCTGTCGAGGGCCGTCTCTGCAGAACGAGTCAGGATCGTTGTCCCCTTATGTCTTCTCAGGTAGCAGGTGCATTTCCACTTGTGGTGTGTCACTCACTTCGCGCTCCCCGGAAGGTCTCTGAGAGAAATGCCCATTCCCACCTCCTTGGAGGCAGAAGGACACACCAGCCCTGCTGTTGAGTGTGTGCAGGGTGGGCTGGCAGGCCCAGGGGCAGGGTCTTTGCAGGGCCCCGGGTGGGGTTGGGGCCTGCAGCAGAAATCACCACACTGTTCTTAGACCTGCACCCTTTCTAGTGACCCTGAGCCTGCGGTTGGGAAGCCAGGAGGAGGCCCTAGAGAAGGGCTCTGTCTTGCCTGCTATAGAGGGACATTCCCTGGGTGCTGGTTTCTGAGCCCCAGTGGCCCAAGCAGAGGGAAGCCTTTGTATCTCCTCTCCAGGCCCCTTTCTGGAGGCTACCTGAATCTCTTCTGTCCTATTAGAGTGGTGTCTAGGCTGCCTTTTCTTTTCATCCAGTAACCATTCTCAGATCTTGGATTTAAAAGGAAAACCTTCCTCACCGAGGAAGCTTGAATTTCCTGGACCCAATGTGCAGCTTATGCATGGTGTTTAGAAAACTGGCCACATGGCCCCTTCTGGTGTGGCACAAGCATGGGGCCTGTTTCTTGAGAAGCTCCATTGTTCTCTTGCTCTTCTCACCAGTGTGGCCCAGGCCAGAGTCTGCCCTTCCTGAGGGCAGAAGAGGTCCTCTGTGTTCTTGATCAGATTCCTCCTGTCCAGTGGCCAGAGGTGTCTGCAAGACAGGGCACCTGGCCAGGAGTCACTAAGGTTGTAGTGCAGCTCTCATGGGGTAACAGACTCTGGGACATCATCATGGGGCTTGAATCCCCACAGTCTTGCTCAGGAGTCTGGGGCCACCCACACAAGCCTGGCTGTGTGGATCACAGTTTGGATCTGGGACTTCTCTGCCCATGGCTGCACCTCTCTGTGTAGCAGGATCATCCTTTTCGTTCTGCCCAGACAGTGACCTGAGGAAAGTCGTGGAACCCTGTGCTCCTTCGGGTCAACTGGGGCACTCTTGTGATGGCTATTACTTGCTCAGGGCGGGCAGCCTGTGTGAAGAAGAGGCAGAGGTGGTGACAAGTGCGCTTTGTCATACTTAACACTGGCTTTATTTAAGATGGCGGCTCAGAGTTCCAGGGCCTAAATCTAAAGACTTCTCCTGACAGATGTTAAGATTAGGCACAGTGTTTCTAGCCCTGGACTGCACCCCAGGGATGCCACAGCCTCCAGGACCCGCAGACTCCCCTCTCCGGGGCTTTGACAAGGTCCCTGAGGCTGCGGGAGGTCTCCCCTCCCACTAGGCACCTGACTTTTATTTCGTGGTTCTCTAGAAACCACGTGCACACTTTTCACTCTGTGATGACGACACAGGGCAGTTGCATCCAGCATGTCAGTGTCCTGCCCAAGCAGCTCGCACGCACGCACGCCTGCCCGGCGTCCACCCTCTGGCCTGGCTGCTCACCCAGAGGCCTCGAGCTGGAAAGCTCGTCAATTTTTTTTTTTTTTTTTTTTTTTTGGCTAGAAAATGTTTGTGTTTTTCCAGTTGTTTTTTTTTTTTAATGATAGAAACCTATACTCTGGATTGTTCCAACCCCAGGGGTGGGATGGGGGCTTGATGTTTCTCCTCCATCCCGCCTGCCTCTGGCCTATGTGGTACCCTCCCCTTCTCCCCCCAGGCACACAGGTTCTGGTTCCTTCCCAACATGTTTGCTTAGAAAGAGTGTCTGCTGCGCTCTCAGGAGAGTCCCATGAGTCAGTAGCCTGGCAGGGACAGGAAGGAGCATGTCCACAGGTTGACATTCTGGGTCCTGTCCCCTGAGCTAAGCCTTTCAGAAAGAGTTGGTGCCTGCTCAGTGTCTTGGAGACGGAGCTGACGGCCAAAGACTAAGGCTCCTGTGTACAGGTCTTTGACATCTTGTAAAGCTGCCTGGGCTGGAGAAGCTGCTCATACCGGCCTTCCAGTGGGCTGGCCTGGGGGTGGAGAGAGCTGCTCACACCCTGAGCATCTCGTCTTCACTTTTGTGGCAGCCTCAGAACAGACAAATCATGAATGAGCCGGAACATTGCAAGAATGTACATAGAAGAAATGTCTGTCCAGATACAGAAATCCTTATGTCTAGAGAGAGCCAGCAGACTAGGGAGGACCTGAGTAATCCTGCCCTGCCCAAAGGAAGCACTCTGCCACCTGAGTCCTGAGGCCGGGGAAGGGTGGCAGCGGGTGGCAGGCATGGGCAGGCTCCTTTGTGCCAGCCGGGCGGCTCTCCACATGGCCCTTGACCCAGAGGGCCGTGGAGCTCCCCATCTTCATGGCAAAGCTCCACCCTAGCTCCTTTAACATCTGTTCATAAGTGCAATAAATTTTTCTAGAAAATGGTGAAAATGACTCCAGGTGGAGATTGCTGTCTTTTGGTGTTGGAGATGCCAGAGCACCACTTGGTTTTATTTTTCTAAATGCATGTGACAAGAATGTGTGGGGCTCTGTGTCCTCCCCTGGGAGCTGGCACCCCAGCAGGCCCCTTTCCCCTGTACCGTGCATGTGCGTGTTGGGGAAAGGAGGAAGGAGAAGATCCCTTCTCAGCTGGAGAGGGCACAAGCAGACTCAGCCCATTGGCCTTATGTGCGTGCGTGTGTGTGCGTGTGTGTGTGTGTGTGTGTGTGCGCGTGTGTGCGTGCACGAGAGTGTGTCACTGCTGGTGGGCCAGAGTGATGTGGCAGGGAGGGAAGCCGGGAATGTATCCTTTTCAAAATAAAACTAAATATTTTGAGACGAGAATTTTGTGACTGTCATTCCCTGCCTTCTTCCCAGGATTCCCCTCTCTGTTGGCCTAGGAGCCTAAGAGTCAAGCTCAAACTTCTATCTCATTAGAATTTTGTCCCAGGCACTGCCTCTGTTACCAGCCCCTTTGTGCCTGAGTTTCCTTGTGTGTTGAGAGTAATTCGTGTAGTAGACCAGAAGCAGTGTGGACAGATGAAAGTTCTGTTTGCCTGGAAGAAAGGAGGGGGACTGCCTGTGAAAGGCGCTTCCCAAACACTTCACAACACAGAAACAAAGTCCACTCCTCCTCTGGAGCAGTCACGAGACTGTCACAGTTGAACACAAACAGGGATGCAGCCACATGGGGGGTCCCAACACTGTCATTGCTGACTGAGTGACACTGTTGGTGTCCCTGGGTCCCTGGTCAGGCTGACTTGAGCTCCCCAGGAGCCTCTGGGGCTCTGTCCATGGGGGTGGTTCGGGGCACCGGCCTAGGCAGTGCCTGTCACAGATCCCAGTCCCCTAGCCCAGTGTGCCAGCCTGTGCCACCTGCTTCCTCAGCCAGGCCAGGCTGCCCTTCACAGCTGAGACCATGAATTCCTGGCCTCCACACCCTGCACAGGGATGCTCAGGGTTCCTGTGGTTGGAGAGACCAGGAACCATTTCTAATTGTGTTTATAAAAATGCATTTGAAGTCTGCAGACAGGGTAGGAAGGAGGAATCTTTTTATTTTATTTTATTCATTTTGCTTACTGCTGTTCCGGGGGTTGAACCCAGGGTGCACTACCACTGAGTTACATCCTTTGCCCTCTTTATTTTTTATTTTCAGACAGGGTCTCACTGAATTGCCCAGCCTGGCCTCAAATTTGTGAGCCTCCTGCCTCGGCCTCCTGAGTAGGTGGGATTATAGGCATACAGCACCATGTCCAGCAACATAGACATTAAAACAGCCACTTGGCAAACTAAACATTGAGGTTCAGGCAAAGTGATGTGCCCAAATAATAGCAGGGGAGCTGAAGTTCAGACCGACCTAGACTGGGTGGAGGTGACATCCCCGAACAGTTGTTCCACCTTGGCATCAGGGCCTTGCCACAGCCTCCTAACTAGCTGCCCACCTCCTCAAGGCTGACCCTCAGCAGTCCTCCCAGCCCTGCAAGCACTAGCTGCTACATCCCAATCCCAAGCCAGGGGAGGCTGCTATCACATTATACACATGGGGCTTCATTTGGGATGGGACACAGATTGCCAGAGCAGTTGCCTGCTATGCTCAAGGCCCTGGGTTCAACCCCCAGTGCTCCAAAAAAGAAAAAAATTCTTTTCAGCAAATAATTACTACATGCCTATTTTGTGTCAGCCCTGCTTTCTGCCCTCACAATTCCTCAGGTAAAGCTAACATTTGGTGGATAAAAGTAGAGAGGCAAGGTGTGACGTATACCTGTGATGCTAGCACTTGGGAGGCTGAGGCAGGAGGACTGCAAGTTTGAGCCCACGCATGCATTTAACATGAACTTGTCTCAAAATAGAAAATTACAAAAGGGCTGGGATATAGCTCAGTGTGAAGGACCTGGGTTGGGTCCCCAGGACTGGGGGGAAAAAAGATTGTGTTAAGCAGTGTGAGAAGACTAGAGAACTGTGGGTGGGGCCAGGGGCCTCTGGATGTCCCCCAAGCTGAAACCAGAATTGAATAGGTGTGACTTGTCCTCAGAGTCCTGCAGGCAGCTTCTGCCCTGGTCCAGATGTCTCAGTATCTATGTAGTAGGCCAAAGTGATGAGGCAGGAGGAAAGCAGTGAGGGGCGACTGGACTGCTGGCACACCAGATTCTTGTCCCTGAGGTTGGGAAGAAGACTACAAGCCAGGTGAAGCCGGGCATGGTGGCACATGCCTGTAATCCCAGCACTCGGGAGGCTGAGGCAGGAGGATCGCTGTGAGTTTGAGACCAGCCTGGGCTACATAGTTCCAGGTCAGTCTCAGCTACATAGTGAGACCCTGTCTCAAAAAAAACCAAAAAAACAAAAAACATGCCAGGTAAGACAGAGTTCCCACGAGGCAGACCTTTAGGCAAAGGCCTGGCCCAGCACCATCCATCCTTGAACCCGTGTGCCCCTAGGCCTGGAGATCGGTCACAGTGGATTGACCAGAGGGGACCAGGAGACCCACGGGTCCTAGGAAGCCCTTTCCTGGGATCTGCCAGGCTCAAGGCTGTTCTCTCCCAGCCAGGACCTATCTCAGCCCACTGCATTTTTCCACCTTGCATTGTCACCATCACTCCACACAGATCCGTGAAACCCTGCGAGGCACAGGGGCTACGCCGGCGTGAAGTCAAAGCTGTAAGAAGCTCTGACTTCGCAGACAGATATTCCTGAGTTCAAATGCCACCTCCATCACCAAGTGAGCAAGTCACCCCCACCTTGCACTTTGTTTCTCATCTGCCAGATGGGGCCCCAGCCTCCTGAGGCTCTCCAGGATCCCCAGCGCGGGTATGTGCTAGCCTGCAGCGGTGTAGAAGGCAGCCTGGGGCGACTTCCTCCTCTTCCCTGAGCTGCTTCCCTCTCTGTTCGGCTGAGGCGAGCTGCACAGATAAAGCACATGCATGAAACGATGTAGATGTAGCTCCTTAACTCCTGTCCCCCGGCCACTTCCATCTCATCGGACAAATTTCCAAAGCTGCACAGGTGCCCTCCTCCTCGACTGCACCCTGCTGCCAGACAGCCCTTCCCACACCACCTTCAGCTATGCCAGGCTGGCCCAGCTGGCAGCTCCTGACATCGGCAGCTAATTTGGGAAAGCTGCCAGGTAGGGGGACGGGGGACGGCAGCACAGGAGAGGAAAAGCAGCCTCGTGGTGGGAGCCCCAGCTCTCACAGTGCTCACTTGGGCATGTCCTGTGCTCCCAACGGTGCAGGATTAGGTAAGTGCCGAGCAGGAGGCTGGGAAGGTGCAGGTACTGCAGGGGGAGTCACATGTAGTCCTCCCTGCCTCCTCCCAGCTGCATCTCAGAGTACGAGGCACAGAGACCACACCTTGATGTCCCAGCCTTGTTTTACAGAGGAAGAAACAGGCTGAGGGAGGTCTCCTGCAACATTAACTAAATATGAGAAGAGATTCAAACCCAGGTCCCTAGTTCTCCTGAACTCCAGCTCTTTGGTTTTCGATTTTGTTTGGTTTAATTTTTTTGTACTAGGGATTGAATCCCGGGGCCTTCCGAGCTACCTGTTCACCTCCTTTCCTGCTTTAAGGTAGGATCTTACTGAGTCACTAAGTTGTCCAGGCTAGGCTCAAACTCGCCATCCTCCTGCCTCAGCCTCCCAGAGTGCTGAGATTACAGGCCTGTGCCACCATGTCTGGCAGACCCTTTGCCGTCTGTCATCTCCTGACTGAGTGCTGGCCCTGCCTGGGCCTGACCACAAAGAAGGACACACACACACACACACACACACACACACACACACACACTGCTTTGGCCTAGTGGAAGTCACTGAGTCAAAGAAGCCAGTATACAGGCCCAGGTAATATCTGTCTTCCTATGGATGGCCTAAACCATCCTGGCCAGCAGCAAAAGGCCCAGGCCCGGCCGTCAGAAGGAAGAGACTGACGTTTGCCTTACCTGCTGGGCCAGGACCTTCACAGGGACCCCATTTAGTACACAGGGAAACTGAGGCTGAGGGAAAGCAACCTCCCTGAGGGTACACCATGGCTACACCCTAGCCTCTCCCTTGAACCCACCCATCCAGCTGGGCCCAGAGCCTCAGAGACCACCTCTTCCTTCCTTCTTCTGTTCCATGTCCTGTCCCCCCAGGTACCAGGATCAGAGGCTTTGGATGATGAGGACCTTAGAAACTGTCACATCTGGGCCCTGAACAGATTCTAAAGAGACTCAGAGAAGGAAAGGAACTACCCATGGGCGCACAGAAATATGGGACTCGGAGTCAGCATGGTGGTGCATGCCTGTAATCTCAGCACTATAGGAGGCTGAGGCAGGAGGATCTCATGTGCAAATCCAGCCTGAGTAACTTAGCAACTTGGCAAGATCTTGTCTGAAACTACAAAAGGGCTGGAGATGTAGCTGAGTGTGAAGGCCCTAGGTTCAATCTCCAGTACTATAAAAAAGAGAGGGAGGGGAGGAGGTCCCCATGGATACTGTGATCATTATGCACTGTAAACATATACAGATAAATAAAAAATAAATAAATGCAAAGGAAAGGAAAGGAACCCGAATGCAGGGTACAGAGTAGGGTAAGCAGGGCTAGGTTGGGGGCTGGAAGGTGGAGGTG